GCCGCCGTTACCGCCATCACTGCCACCACAGTATTCACTGCCGGTACCGCAGTAGCCCCACTGAGAGCAGCAGGATCCAGCGGGACATTGATCTGAGCTGGAGCACTCTCCGGTCCTAGCGTAAAGGAGGCTGCTGGTAGTGACCTGAGGAGCAGCAGCAACGGAAGAGGCGAGGGAGGCGAGAGCGCCGACGAAGAATAGAATAGATTGCATAGTGATCGTTAGAGACGTGATGTTGTCGAAGAATGTGAGTTGTCAAGGAATGTGAGTCTGTTAAGAAACGAGGGTCTCGGACCGCTGAAGAATGATAGTCTGGTAAGGAATGATTGTCGGTTTAGAAATGAAAGTGTAGGCGACGAGATGGTTTGTGATACTGAGACCAAAATGCTGTTTTGAGGAGGGATCAACCCCCGTCTTTATATATTCATCGATGGCCTCGGTAGCTTGCTCAGACTCGTCCATCTTGTCTTACCGATACGTTACCGAATCCACCTGGCTGATGGTGAGGTAGTCCAGTTGCCTCTTTTGGAATGACAATGCCACAGCAAGAAAGGTAAGGCATTCAAGAGATTCACGGTAGGTCGATGCCACGTGATACAGCTACGTTATAATTAGTCTAGGCAGCCTATCAAGTGGTCGCATTGCTAATTTTGGTAGGAAGCCGGTCAAATCAAGGATCCCCATTCAGAGCCTCAATAAGCTTAATTGGCAGGTCGATTGGGGGAAAGGAATTGTCAGGTTCTCGAGGTCCCATAATGAGCTCTTCTCCACTCGTAGACGGTGGCCTAGGCCTGAGAGCCTTGCACATGTGAAGCTCGAAAGGAAGTGGCGCTGGCGATACTACGGTGCCTATTAAAACGTTACATGTTGTCTGGAAATAAAGGTGAGATTAAGGCGTCTACGTTCGAAAAGTGTAACCGTCTAAACAACAGCAAGTGACAGAAGGGAAGGTCGCTGCGAAATATAAGCTTATTAAGGGGTGGGGCATGGATCGCAAATGCACCAAAGGGGAAGGTCTGATCCTTCGGGGGTTTGGACAATCTAAAAACAGCACCACATACGGAAAACTAAGATAGTGCGATACAGAGCCAGGGTTCAAGCTACTGTTCCCATAAAGCTAGAATAGAACTGTCTATGCGAGTCACTAATTGTCTTATTTAGGAGCTTCTCCGTGACTTACTTACACTTACCTGTTGCAGCCTACCGAACACTACCGAGAGTGAGCTGACAACTATCTCCGATCGCACGGCTCGAGCGATCTGACTCCCCTGGCTGTGAGCGGACAAAGATATGAACGTGTATTTCCACACTCATAATGCGGATTCAATCATGGAGGATGACTTGGCACAGGAGGAGGCTTGGAAGATGAAGAAGGACGATGTCATTTACATTGTGGCAACTTGGAAGTCTCCTACCACGTTGCCCCCAAGATGAGTGAGATGCTCACTCATCCTAATAATGTCACCCTCCTCCCTATCATGCGACTCATAATAATCATTCCAGCCTCGGCATTCTTTCAAAATTGTGAAGTGGGAGGGTCTTTCGGCTTCTGGCCTGTTTATCACGTGACTAAGTGTAAGGGGTTTCTATCTCTGGTAGCTATAAGTTCCCCTTTTACAGGTACTCCTCCAGAAGTGCGCGCCCATTTCCGTCGCTATTGTCATTAGGCTGCTTAGCCTGATGAGCGAACAAAATTTCCTCGTCCATACCACCGTCACAGGAGTTGTGCTATTAGCTAGCCGCAAGAAGGTGTTAATCACAGGACCTGCTATATCCCGCCTGCCGTTGGTGGTATGGATTTGTTCAGCTAAGTACCCCTCGGCCAAGCTAAAAAGGACCACTGGACCTCGGGTCATATAGTCGAGATCTCATCCGTTCTGTCATTGTTCTCTTCTTGTTTTTACTCCTTTCTTTGCATCCGAGCCACGCGCATGGAGGCTCCGTTAACCAGTTGACAAGGCTATCACACGGACAATACATTCATATACGGATTACATACAAAAGTACTTGAACCATGATAGCCTACGGAATCCGAAGCCTGCCTGCTAGCCTAACTGCCAGCTACCTTACTACGAGACTCCTTTCGAGCCATACTGGCCACCCAGGCCACCCAGAGCCTAGCCACGCAAGGCCTAACCATACGAACAAAGGTCCATTCAGCCTAGTTAACCAATTCCTCTAGCCATCGCACGTACAGCGAGTTTATAAACCGAATCACATATAAAAGGGCTACAAACGCGAGAGCTTACGGAAGCAAAAGTCCACCCGCGATATCCCCTCGCCGCGAGACACCTTGCAAGCCAAACAGGCCACCTAGGCCTAGCCACACAGTCCAGGGCTCTCTAATCAATAGGTCCCCCTACCTGTCTCACAAGCAGTGCGGTTGTATACGATTCTATATATGAAGCAGCTATTGCCGTAACTGCCAAGCTGCCTAAGGAACCTATGGATCAAACCCCTTGCTTACACGTACAACGGCTATTTTAGCTAATTTTAGGGTCTCCAGCCACCTTGGCAACCTAGCCACGCAGGGCTTAGTCAGGCACACAAGAGTCAGAGGCTTTGGCTAGCCAGCTCGTAGCACGTTTGCATGCAAATTCACATATATTCCGGCCGCTCAACAGACCCGTTTCCCTTGAGATGGTGCGCCGGTAGAGTCAATAAGCCGTTGCGAACATGGAGGCTCGGCGGCTACGAAGCGGGACGGGGCCGCCGCGATGAGTCAGCAGACGCTATCGTAATACTAAGTGTCCAATATTGCTAATTTTCTTGGCCTGCTTACTTGGAGGCTGCTCTAGTTCTCGGATGATTCCGACGACTGGACGAGGAAAACGCAGCGAGAACGATAGCAGTACTTGATGATATTCACCGGAAACGCCGCTATGATTACGTTAACAGTAAAGCCAAAAGGCTTCTTAATCAATTCGAGTGTGTTCTTCCACTTTCTCTCAGCTGGTGATCTTTATATAGCAAGTTGTGTTACTAAGATTATTCGTGCCATGTGTGCTATGGCCAGGCACCTTTCTACCTTCGAATCCTATTCAAACCTGGAGCTTAGGGTATTATTACGACATGCTTAGCAAAATTCACTCATAGCTCCTTATTACGGGGTGATGTAGTGCTAATGCTTGATTAATCTAGCTACTTGTTTGTATGTTGTTCAAATAAAAGGCCGGTTTGACGACGTAGCCAAATACACTAAACTTCGCCAGACTTGCACAGCACTTCATTTACGGCAGCGGCGCAACCCCATATCACCCTAGCCAGTCCAAACATCGGGACCAGGGCACTTGTACGAAGTTGCCTTGCCATTGTAGATATCGACCATGATACCCGGGTCCGACTGCGGGGCGTAGCCCGGGATGGACGCGAGCAGGTTCGAGGGGGCCGTCGCGGTGCCCGAGCCCGTGACCTCGATCTGGGCGCACTCGGGGTAGAACTGCGGGGTGTTGGACTGGTGGAGGGCGAGCAGCTCGTGGCGGATGAGGTAGTTGCCAGGCTTGAGCGAGGCGGGGATCTTGCTCGACCACTTGAGGTTCTTGTAGACGACGCCGGTGCCCCAGTCGTTGCTGTTGAGCGCCGCGCCGTACAGGCCCATCTGGTCGATCTTGAACCACTTCTTCTGCTTGCCGTCGCACGACGCGAAGCCGTTGTCGCACGGGTACATCCACACCATCACGGGCCCCTGCTGGTGTGTCCATTGCTTCCAGACTGCGGTGATGTTGGTGCCTGCTGCGATCTTGGCGGACAGAGGAGCTGAGGAACCGCCGTTGCAGGTCATGGAGCCGGCTCCTGCTGTCATGATGGGGTTGTAGTCGGGCCACTTTATGGCGTCAGTCAGCTTGTGTACAAGAGGCAATATGTTGGATTCATCGGGTTGGATGTGAGTGCACTCTGCGATATGCAACCAACACTATCGACAGTGTCTCATATTCTCCAACGAACACAAAATTCAAAGCATATTAAGGAAATGAACATACCTGTCTCTGGATGATCTGAGCACCGGGCTGTGGCGAGAAGCCTTCGTAGCCGGGATATGTCTTTCCATCGATGATGTAGCTGGTCACAGCACCGTGCGCCGCAGCCAATGCTGGCGCGAGAGTCAGAAGAAGAGAGAACAGCATATTGACGACGATCAAGGCCCACACAGAAACCAACAGTTAGGCAAAGTTCAAGGAGTTATGGAGTACGGCCAAGCCGAGTCATCTAGGAGGGCCTGACTCAAGATATATATCTACCGCATCGTCCCCCACGAGCCCCTGATTCCAGTATCCCCATGGCCACGGCAGCTTACCAATCACCGCTCGCAACAAATTAGGAGCGCATCAAAGATCAAGGCAGTTTATCAGTTCAATCCCCGTGAACCACTGATATTCTCGATCGAACGTTTGCTGGCCAGCGCCTCTCTATCGCTCACTCCGCCGGCCGCAAAACATATTGGACGAGGATGACTTCGGTTCTACATCAGCCGCTTACGGCCTGCTCTAGATGAATACGAACCAAAAAGGGCTCAACTGAGGCTTCTGATTGGGAAATCAGGCCTGGGGTCATGGCATGCGTACATCGTCTTCCCCACATTCTTATGCATTTATAGATTGCACCCCAGGAAACGCGGGAGACACATACCACCTCTGAAGGCGTCAGCGGCGGCAACAAGTCATTTCACAGTTCAAACCCGCGGCCAATTATGAGACTCATAGAGCTTACCCCAGGATTTATCTCCTTGCCGCTCGTGGAGTGCGGCGCTCGAGTCCGCAACAGGCTAAAAGGATAAATGCCACGAGGCGCTCTTGACACTCAGTATGCCGCCAGCTTGGCTGACCTTCATCTGACGAGGGAGGTAGTAGGTTGGTTATTGGCACTAAGTTGAATATGTCCAACATGGTATGAGAGAAAAAAGCTCTCAAGTGTAAATGAAAAGGGGGAAGGAACACAGACCAGGTAGATGGTGATAAGGGGCAACAAGACGTCAGGGGCAAAAAAAAGAAACAGTAAAAAGTTGCCTCCACGCGGAATCGAACCGCGGATCTTGTCATTACACCGCCAGCCTGAGCTGTACGAGTGACACGCATTACCCCTGTGCCATAGAGGCGTCAAACTGGCGATATGATTCGACTTTAATATGATTACCGCACGCGATGTTCATATATATAACGAAAGAAGCGAGGCAACCGCGCCATCAGTTCACGACTAGTCCAATCAATCAATCGTCAGGCTCTTCCTTCCCTCCCCCGGGAGACAGTATATTTCTTATTCTGTCTTACGTCACACATATGTCTGTAGTAATTACTTATCTACAGAAGATGGTCGATGTTATGTGATTCATCATATTAGACGTCTCATAAGATGGACATGACTTCCTTTGCACGATGGCCAAGTCAAAGACTAAGCCATGCTTGCTACCAGCGTGCATAAAAGCAAGCAAGCTGGAACTACAGGGATATGAGAGCTCTGGGGTCGGTTTAATAAGATGCGATGATGCACGCCTTCACACCGTTCAGTGGAAATGCATTTGAGTCGAGTCGAGTGCTAGGCAGACATGGCCTTTTTTGCCGTCATGATGGCAGGAGTTCGCCAAGTAGCGTATCTACCTAGGTAACTATGTTCGCTAATATCAACGGACCGTGTCGGGTTGTCGGGCAGCACAATAACACCCCATCACCTCCCCGTCTGCGCCTGCCCCTTCACCGGAACCTCGTCATCAATACAAAGCGGCTCAACCATGGCGAGCTCGCCATCACTTAGCTCATCGTCATCCATCATCGTAATAGGGGCATCCCCATACTCGTCCTCACTATCAACCCGATGTTCCCGGGCACCATAAGAAGCAGAAGCCACATTCGAGGCAAAGACAGAGGTAGGTTCCCCATACGTTGCAGGCGAAGAAAAGCTAGCAGCCCGCTGCTCCGCCTCCGCCCCTAATCCCGGACCACGTTCCTTCTCCTTCTCCAACACATCAGGCGCCGACAATGACGGGCCCGCGTCGCTAAGTCTTATGGGCGGACGAGTACCGGAGGAGGAGGAGGTTGTGGTAGTGGCGGTGGCTTTGGCTTTGTCGACAAGAAAGAAGTCCTGATCGCCCAGTCGCGGATCATTCTTGATCTCCCGCAGATACTTCGCGTTCTCGTCGAGCCTATCGCGCGTGGACCGTCGCGGCGGAAGCACAGGTTTTCTCGTCGGGAGGCCAGGCGCAGGCGCATTCCCAGGGCGTCTTGGAGGAAGTTCCGGTCTAGCCTCCTCATCAGCATCACCAACATCGATCAGCGTGCCCAATTCCGGATAATCCGAATCCCTCATCCCAATCCCTTCCTCCACCAACACATCCTCCCTCTCAATCTTTTCCTCCCCGCCTCTAACGCCGCCAAACCCGCAGCGATTCAGAATCTGCGGAATGAGATCCGGATACCTCGTATGACCCAAGACCTCATTCGTCAGATCCAAATCCTCCACACCGTCAATAGCGTGTCCAACAGCCTGCAGCCCCGCAATGCCCAGCTGCAGGCTCGTGCCACGATACAAGAAGCCGAGGATATAGTCGTTCTCGCTATGCACATTAAACAGTCTCCCAGCCACAACGCAGCGCATCATCTCCCAGTGTTCCTTGCTCGAAGGCACAGGCGCGCCAATGAGGACAACAGTATCCACAACGCCAAAACACTGCCGTTTCGCCAGTTCCCTCAAACACGCATAAACAACCCTCGCCCCCAATGAATATCCCACCAGCGTCACAGGCCGTTCTCCTTGCACCCGATTCGCAAGAGCATCGGCAAGGACGGCGCCCGCCTTATCAGACCTGTTCCTAGCGAGCGTAAAAGGGTTGTCCAGCGCGCTCGCCGACGACAGCAGGGTCAGGGGCCACAGGGCGCCCTGGACGGTGGCGAGCACGGTGCGCTTGAGCAGCTCGACGCGCAGGTAGTTCCATGCGGCCGAGTGCACGAGGCGCCGCAGCTGCGCGCCGAGCGCCAGGAGGCTGGCCATTTCGTAGCGCAGGGCGAAGACTTCGGTGGTTTGGGGAAGGGCGCGCCAGGGCGCCACGACGTCGTCGGCGCTGTCGAGCCAGCCGTTGATGCCGATGGTGACGCGCAGACGGCGGGCTTGGGCTTCCATATCTGCATCTGTTCCTGTTCCTGTTCCCCCTCCTGCTCCTGTTGCATTCCCTACCGCAGTCCCATCCCCTCTCAGCGGCAGAAACTTAAAATCCTCCACCTCCCTCGCATAGCGATCCGCCATCTCCCCCGTCATCTTCGCGCCAAAGGCGCCGAAGAGCGCACCGACGAGGGCACCATTCATCCAGAAAATACCCAGAAATCCAGCCAATCCGCCCAGCCCCACCGAGCCCATGATGCCGCCCACGACGCCCGCGACGACCGGCGCCGCCAGCCCGCCCGTGACGCCGATGACAGCGGCGCCCGCGACGGAGGCGAGGCCGACTTTCCACAGGCGGCCCGCGCGGCCTTGCTCTCTGCGTTTCGCAGCTTCCGAATCCGCTGACATAGCACCTCCACCTGCACCTTTCTCAGCATCAGCCTTCTTCACCGTCTCCACAAGCGTAGTAGCGATCTCAACCTCCTCCCTATCAAGAGTCTCGGGCGGGATATCGAGGGCCGAGGCAAGGTAGCACAGGAAGCAGCGCGCGTAGGCCGAGTATTTGCCCGCGGATAATAGAAGAAGCATGGTGGCGCTGAGGACTTCTTCCCTGTCGCGGCGCGGGATGGTGGTGAGGCGCGTGGGGATGGGGTGGTAGAGGTTCTGGAAGGCTTGTAGATTTTTCCTTTCCGCTCCCCCTTCTTCTTCTTCTTCTTCTTCGTCTTCATTCTGTGCATCTCGCGTTCCCTTTCCCTTACCCTCTGCCTCCACTCCTCCCTTCTCGTAATCTTCAGGTGGTTTATCGTTCGTTTCATCAAAAGACAATAAGTCCTCCCCCCTCCCCACCCTCGCGTTCTTTCCCTTTTCCTTTTTTTCCTCCTCCATTAACTCCTCACCCCGCTTCCGTCTCGCCTCAAGGATCTTATTATCATCAGCCTTCGAAACAACGTCTTTGAGCGCGCGCTGCGTCTCGCTGCGCCAGGCATCAAAATGTCGCAGGGCCGAGCGCCGCAGACGCACGAGGGCCGGGCTGTGTGTTGGCGGTATTCCACCACTCCCACCATCACCACCACCACCACTACTGCCATGACGACCACTTTGGTGCCCGCCATCCCATCCCCCTTCCCCCTCCCCCTCCCTCAACTCCAGCTGCGCGCGCATATACGCCGCAATCTCGCCGACAAGGGCGTAGAAGGCCTTGCGCCGCGCCATGTTCAGCACGACGCGGATGGCGTCGGGCTCAGTGGTGAGAGGCGCCATAGCTTCACCTTTACCTGCACTTCCACTTTCGCCTCCACCTTCACCTTCACCCAACTAAACTCCCGATCTCAAAACGAAGGTACGTGTTGTGTCGGTAAGTACATTGATTGGTAAGCTTTCTCTTCACCGGCTTGTTTAAAAAAAGAACGCAGTAGGCGCAGAAGTATCTCGATTCGCTAAAGTTAAGCAAAACACAGAAAAAAAGAAGAGAGAGAGAAAATTGAAAAGCTTATACAATTCTTAATAAGCGAGTGCTAAAGGACAGAACAGACAATCTACGTTGTATGGTCTATATATCACAGCAAAGCTAAGGTTGAGTGTCGGCAGGCAGTAGATGATCAAGTGGGGATGCAAGGCGGCTGTGCCAAAACGGTGTTGCCTGCCAAGCAAGCAAGCATGGTCCTAAATATAGCATACCTACGTTAGGTAGCCAGCACCTATAGTACATATCTGTAAGCGAGGCATGTAGGGAATCTCACGATTTTCAGTACTACTAACTCTATTCTATGATTCAAAATCATTCCAACAACTACTCTTGGATAAAAAGCAGTTTGACAGCGAAGCTTACTACCATCAACTCAACGTGTTAATGCATCTACTCATGACGCAATCACGGAGAACTTAATCGGGGAAACGATGATGTTTGGGATAATGATATTGATTTATTGTTACAAGTCATGTCGTGTTCACGTATTGAACAGCGCTCATGGCTGTCGTGGCTCTGGGCCCTCACGGCTCTGCCCCGTCGCCACCTGATATATATATAATAGCACTCATGTAGTTTGAACGCCAGTGCGCCTGCCCGCTTTTAATTCCAGGTCGCTTAATCGATCCTAGTTCGCCTCCAATTCCATGCCCCCCCATAATGCTTGATCCGATTCCGTTTCCCCATTCACTGATAATACAAAGTTTTCGTGTTTGTTGGTTGATGTCTTGTCTGGTGAGACGCTCGATCCGGGCCAAGAATTGAACGACGAGATCTTGTTGTTATTCCTCTCGTGTTTTCTAATTCGTCGTTCCTCGACCTTCAGTGCCCACAATAATGTGAGCAGTACCTCGCGAGACGGTAGGCTGGCGCCTTTCGGCCACGACAGCAGCCCACGGCTGTGGACCCCCTTGATACCCAGGGATCCTTCGGCTAGTACCTCGACCCGGTCCTCGCGACTCTCAGATAGTTTCAACCGCAGTAGCTCGATCGTCGCATCCCCAAGAGGACGCGCCAGATTCGGGCTGCAGGTTAAAAGCCTCCGAAGAGTCTTGATTCTCAAGGTCGTGGACAGTGAAGGAGTGTGTCGCGGCGACGGGGCCGCTGACGTCGTCGCTGAGGAACTGGAACAAATCCCAGTCCGGAAGGTCTGTGGAAGCGTCACCAGCCATATGATTGAACTCAAAATTGACTGGGTCGGATGAAGGGCTAAATTGTCCTGGATCGTACCACGGAGCAACTTCAGTGGGTGAAGGGAAGCCATGGAAATCATCACGGAACAGGCCAGCATCCACGTTAGGCTTGTCTGGAACGACGATGTCGGTTCTTTTGACGGACACTGCAGGTCGAACAACACCTCTGCTGAGTGTTGTGTCGTGTCAAAAGAATCGGCAACCGCCGAGGTGGAAGGGACATCCTCGGCAACCTTGTCGGCCGTGGCGGTGGAAGTGGGCTGGGGTTCGGAATCGGCTACGGGGTCGAGGTTGGGGGAGATGGAGGCCGGGTCTACGGTGCCGTCTTGTTCAGGCAGGCTCATCAAC